TTCAGCGCTCGGGGGGTGTTCGACGGATTCAGCGCTCGAGGGCTACTGACAGGGCCGGGCGGCGGCGCGCCGTCCATCCGATGCGCGTGCGGGGGGATGCCGAGGGGGGAGGGGGCGACCAGGTCGAGGCTCTGATGTGAAGGAGCAACCAGGTCGAGTTTTTGCCTTGCTCTGCTCTCCCCGTCCCCGCTTATCCTCGCCAGCTCCCCATCCGCGCTCATCCTCGCCAGCTCCGCGGGATGCGCGAGCTCCCCGTCCCCGCTCATCCTCGCCAGCTCCCCTACCGCGCTCATCCTCGCCAGCTCCCCGTCCGCGCTCATCCTCGCCGGCTCCCCATCCCCGCTCATCCTCGCCAACTCGGCAGGATGCGCGGCGCGCCCCAGGGCCCAGAGCTGGGCGAAGATGAAGGAGCGGCGGGCGTGGACGGCGGTGGTGATCTGGGGAGGGGGGGTTAGCGGGGGTGAGTGGGGGTTAGGAGAGGGGGGGGGGTGAGTGCGGGTTAGGAGAGGGGGGGGGGGTGAGTGGGGAAGGGAGGGGGGGAGGAGGGGGTGATTTGGGGAGGGGAAAGAGGGGGGGTGAATTGGGGAAGGAGTGAGGGAGGAGAGCGTGGGGGGGAGAGTGGGGGGAGGGCAAGGCGGATAAGGTGGGCAAGGCGGATAAGGTGGGCAGGGATCAAGGTGGGCGGGGGACGGAGGGATGTTGTTTATGGGAGTGACCCTCAAAACTCGACGAACACCCCCTCCCAACAAAAGCCTCCCTCCCAACAAAAGCCTCCCCCACACACACCCACACACACACACACACACACCAACTCACCTCCCTCCACCCCACGCACTGCTCCTCGCTCCAGATCCCCGGCACGTAGGGCAGCCCGCCCGCCGCCCGCGCGATGATGATGCTCTCGGTGATGAGCAGCGTGCCTGGGGCGCAGGCGCGCTGCGCGTAGTAGGATTTGACGAGGGGGAGGGGGACGCCGTCGAGGTTGGCGCGGGGGGCGCCGTCGAGGGTGGCGCAAGGGAAGCCCTCGAGGGTGGCGCGGGGGACGCTGTCGAGGGTGGCGCGGGGGACGCTGTCGAGGGTGGCGCGGGGGACGCCGTCGAGGGTGGCGCGGGGGGCGCTGTCGAAAGTGGCGCGGGGGACGCCTTCGAGGGTGGCGCGGGGGACGCCGTCGAGGGTGGCGCGGGGGACGTCCATGTTCGAGCTGGGACCGTCCATGTTCGAGCTGGGAGCGTCCATGTTCGAGCTGGGAGCGTCCGTGTTCGAGCTGGAAATGTCCATGTTCGAGCTGGGAACGTCCATGTTCGAGCTGGGAACGTTCTGAACGCCTGTGTCAGCGTCCCCGCAACCGTCACCGCCATAGACGCGATAGCGCGTCATGGGCGCGAGGATGAGCCGGTGTTGGAGGGGGAGGCCGCCGACGGTGGTGGGCTGGAAGAGCGCCGGGGTGGGCTGGAAGAGAGCGGGGGTGGGCTGGAAGAGCACCGATGTGGGATCGTCCGTGGGGGTGGAGTCGTCCGAGGGGGTGGAGTCGTCCGACTCGGAGGTAGAGTTGTCCTTGGAGGAGGTCATGGCGAAGTCTTTCGTGGAGGTCATGGCGAAGTCTTTCGAGGAGGTCATGTTGGGGTCGGAGGAGGTCATGGTGGAGACGGTAGAGGTCATGGTGGAGGCGGAGAGCGACTCGCAGCCAGCGAGCGGGCGAGCAAGGACGCCTGAACATCTTATCACAGCATCTTGAGGACTATCGTGGCATCTTGAGGACCAGCGTCTGGCATTCAGAGGACCGGCGTCAGGCGCGTGCGGCGCCCTGTCTTCGTGGGAGCGCACTATACAGCGAAGACGGCTGAGGAGCCCTGGAATATGGCGTGCCTTTCGGAATAGAGGTGCGTGCCTTTCGGAATAGAGATGCTGCCTTTCGGAATAGAGGTGCTGCCTTTCGGAATAGAGGTGCTCTTCTCCACGCGATCTGCGCTTTAGCCCATCGAGCGTTCACTGAAGACTCGCCGTAACGTCTTGGTACTCGTAACGTCTTGGTACTCGTAAGTAACGTCTTGGTACTTACTGTTTGCTGTTGCTGGACGCCCCTCAGTCATGAATCGATGCTCCTAGCAGCAGAGCGGGACGTGCGATGGTGGTCGCTGTGCGATGATGGTCGCTGTGCGATGGTGGTCGCTGTGCGATGGTGGTCGCTGTGCGATGGTGGTCGCCGTGCGGGACATGTGGTGGCGGTCGAGGAGAAAGTTGAACGTTCGAGGAGGAGGAAGTTGAACGTTCAAGGTTCTCACGGGACGCCAGCCGCGCCGGCGTTCTCACGCGCACGTGACTACATTCAGAGACCTCAGAAGAACAGAACATACTAGTAGTAGTACTACAGTGAGAGTACGGACGTACTACTACAGGAGAGTACAGACTTACCACGGTAGCACCGACAATGACTACTTATAGTACAGTACTTGCATGCCCCCATGCTGAACTTGCATGCCCCCATGCTAATAAGTAAGTACTCATCTATTCCTGCACATACATATATTCCTGCACTTACATACCTCGGCCAGTCACATCCAAGTCGAACACTGCGCCATCACATCCAAGTCCAACACGCAACCACGTGCTTGTGAGAACGCGGGATCACGTGCTTGTGAGAGCGCGGGATCAGGACGTTCACAGGGCGAGCCAAGTTGAAGCTTGAAGTTTGAGCTCAAGTTCTTCAGCCTCGAATCACCATCACGATGACGTGTCCAGCTCAGAGCTCATGATGACATGTCCCGCTCAGAGCTCACGATGACATGTCCCGCTCAGAGCGTCCCTTCGCGAGCGACAGTCATGAGAGTCCCCTTCGCGAGCGGTCAGAGCGCTCCCTTCGCGAGCGACAGTCATGAGCGTCCCTTTGCGAGCGGCCAGAGCGTTCGCTCGCGAGCGGCAGTCATGAGCGTTGCCTCAAGTCATGAGCGTCGCCTCAGTCATGAGCGCCTTCTAGCGAGTGGCACTCATGAGCGTCCCTTTGCGAGCGGCAGTGATGAGCGTTGCCTCAGTCATGAGTGTTGCCTAGCGAGCGACACTCATGAGCGTTCCCTCGCGAGCGGCAGTGATGAGCGTTGCCTCAGTCATGAGCGCTCCCTTCGCGAGCGGCAGTCATGAGCGTCGCCTAGCAAGCGGCAGTCATGAGCGTCGCCTAGCGAGCGGCAGTCACGAGCGTTGCCTCAGTCATGAGCGTCGCCTCAGTCATGAGCGTTGCCTCAGTCATGAGCGTTGCCTCAGTCATGACCGAGGGCCGTCCAGGAATGGAAGAAGGAGGGCCGTCCAGGAATGGAGGAAGGAGGGCGGCCGTCCAGGAATGGAAGAAGGATCCAGGCGGATCGGGGATGGAGGAAGGAGGGCGGATCGGGGATGGAAGAAGGGGAATGGAGGAAGGATGGCGGCCGTCCAGGGATGGAGGAAGGAGGGCCGTCCAGGAATGGTGGAAGGAGGGCCATCCAGGAATGGAAGAAGGATCCAGGCGGATCGGGGGATAGGGCCTTACTATCGTTTTGTCTCTGAGCGCACTCGCCGTCTTGTCTGCGAGTGCACCTCGCCGTCTTGCATCCGAGCGCACTCGCCATCTCGTCTTCGAGTCTTCGTCGTCACCGAGGAGTCTCCGAGCGCACCCCGTCGTCTCATCTCCGAGATCGTCGACTCGTCACCGAGATCGTCGACTCGTCACCGAGTGCACCGTCGTCAAGTCACCGAGTCTCCGAGTCTTCGAGTCTTCGGTTCAAGTCTTCGAGTCACCGTCCGAGTGCACCGTCGTCATCTCCGAGATCGTTGTCGAGTCTTCGAGTCTTCGAGTCCTCGGTCGTACCATCGTCTTCGAGTCTTCGAGTCACCGAGTCTTCGAGGCGCCGTCGAGTCTTCGAGTCTTGGAGTCTTCGAGTCTTCGAGTCATCGAGCGCACCCGCCGTCTCGTCTTCGAGTCTTCGAGTTTTCGAGTCTTCGAGTCTTCGAGTCTTCGAGGGCACTCGACGTCTCCGAGTCTTCGAGGAGTCGTCGGTCGTCTTCGAGTCTTCGAGGAGTCTTGTCGTCACCGAGGAGTCTCCATCGTCGTTTTTGGAGTCTCCGTCTCCGTCGAGTCTCCGAGGTCGTCGTCGAGTCTTGTTCGAGTCTTCGAGATCGTCGACTCGTCTTCAGACTTCGAGATCGTCGAGTCTCCGAGCGCACCTCGCCGTCTCGTCTTCGAGATCGTCGACTCGTCTTCGAGATCGTTGACTCGTCTTCGAGATCGTTGACTCGTCTTCGAGATCGTCGTCGTCGTCTCCGAGGAGTCTCCGAGATCGTTGTCTCGTCTTCGAGGCGCCGTCCGAGTCTTCGAGTCTTCGAGTCTCCGTCGTCTCCGAGTCTTCGAGTCTTCGAGTCTTCGGGTCCTCGTCGTCGAGTCTTCGAGGAGTCTCCGAGATCGTCGACTCGTCTTTCGGGAGTTACTGAATCGTCTTCGAGCGCACCTCGCCGTCTTCGAGTCTTCGTCGTCACCGAGGAGTCTTCGAGCGCATCTCCGAGTCTTCGAGTCTTCGAGCGCACCTCGCCGTCTCGTCTTCGAGATCGTCGACTCGTCTTCGGGATCGTCGTCTCGTCACCGAGTCTTCGAGTCCTCAGGAGTATAGTTGGTGTCTTCGAGTTGTCTTCGAGTCTTCGAGATCGTCTTCGAGAGCCCTCGTCTTCGAGTCTTCGGGCGCACCGTGCGAGTCCTGTGTGCTTTGGTGGTAGGAAATGGGAAGGAGGGAGAGGGGGAAGAGACTTGGAGGTTTTGAGAGAGGGGGTGAGGTGGAAGGGAAAGGGAGAGGGAGAGGGGGAGAGGGAGGGGTGTTGGGCGAGAGGGAGAGAGGCCGTCGGATACCTTGTGAGGGATCGATGGTTGAAAATGAAGGAGCGGGACTGAGCGCTGAGTGCTATAGGAGCGGGACTGAGCGCTATAGGAGCGGGACTGAGCGCTATAGGAGCGGAACGCCAAAGAATATTTCGAGGATCGTGCATTCCCCACAGCCGACTTGAACGACTGACCTTGTCATGATGCATATATACTAGTGACACGCTCTACCACTGAGCTAGCGGGATGGTGTACGCACTCAACAGGGGTGCATGTTGAGAGGGGAATGAGGGATGATGTTCCTTGCTTGTGCTCGAAGACTGGAGTGATTATGCGTGCGAGAGTGCGATGGGTATACGTGCGAGAGTGCGATGGGTATACGTGCGAGAGTGCGAAGAGGCGAATGTTCGAGGACGGGGTGCAAGTCGAACATGTGACGTCACAGCACGCGTCGTCACGGTGGTTGTCCTGAACGACGATGGCGAACTATCCGAGTCTTTCGCTGGACGCGGGGAACAAATGGATCAAGAGCCTGACGCAGAACCGGCTCGACTACTTTACGGGCGGACACTATGCGGGCCACAACCTGAGCAGCGCGCTGTACAAGGTGAACCGCGACGACCTCGTCCGGCTCAAGTCGTGGTCCGCGCCCGGGCTCACCAAGCCCTCGTACGCGGAGGCAATGGCGCACATTGACGAGTTCAAGCCGGCGAAGAAGGGTGACCGGTACGGGCCGAGCTGGAGCAACCACTGGTTTGTGGTCGAGATTGAGCTCCCGGCCGAGTACCGCGATGAGGAGCGTGTCCAGCGTGCGTGACCACCGCCTCTCTTATGCCCCAGCTAACACGTCTGCAGTTGAATTCGACCCAGACTGCGAAGCCATGGTGTTCGCCGCCGAGGACGACGTGCGCGGGATCCCCGCGGGGACACCGCTCCAGGGCATCACCGGCGGCGGCGCCCGCGAGCGCCGCGTCGACTACATCATCCCCCCCGCCGCCTGGGCCAAGGGCGCGCACACGGTCGTCATCGAAGTCACCTGCAACGGCATGTTCGGCGTCCCCTGGAACGGGGACACCATCGAGCCCCCCGACATGAACCGCTACTTTTCGCTCAACGCAGCAGACCTCGTCGTCCCCAACCAGGACGCTTGGCGCTTGTTGTGGGACTTTGAGGCGCTGAAGCAGGTGTGTGGGTGCGATCTAGCCTTGCATTATCAGTACTCACATGCCCTCCCAGCTCGTCCAAACTCTCCCGGGCAACACCACAGCCCAGAACGACGCGCTCACAGCCGCGAACGCGATCATCAACATCTTTGACCGCGCGCGCATGGGCACACACGAAGACCTCGCCACCGTCATCGCCGACGCCCGCCACCTCGCACGCACCACCATGTTCGGCGGCATCAACGTCGACGACCCGGAGGAGGTGTATCCAGAGTTGGGCAAGGTAACCCTCCTTTAAGCTTCATATCCCATCCGCTAACTCCCCTCCCCCAGTCCCCCACCGCCCCCCACCCCCGGGCTCCATCTGGCCCATCGGCAACTGCCACATCGACACCGCCTGGCTCTGGCCCTACTCGGCCACGCAGCAAAAGGTCGCGAGGAGCTGGTGAGTGCGCGCTCGTACTCCACGCCCTATTCTGTCGCGCATACTCTCCCTATCCCGTCACGCATCCACGCCCCATCCCGTCGCGCATACTCCACGCCCCACCCTTTCGTGTCGACGCCCCATCCCTTCGTGTCGACGCCCCATCCCTTCGTGTCGACGCTCGCGGCGTGTCGCGTATCGTCCCCCTCATACCTGCGCGTTCTGTATACCTCTCCATCCCCTCTTACCACCACCTTCCACGCCCTCCTCCTCCCTCCTCCCTCCTCCTCCTCCCTCCTCCTCCCTCCTCCTCCCTCCTCCCTCCTCCCCCCGCTAACCCCCAACCCCTCAAGGTCCACCCAGATCGACCTCGCAGAGCGCTACCCCGAGCACCGGTTCGTCGCCAGCCAGGTGAGTGGCGGGTTAGATAAATGAGTGGCGGGTTAGATGGATGAGTGGCGGGTTAGATGGATGAGTGGCGGGTTGGATGGATGAGTGGCGGGTTAGATGGATGAGTGGCGGGTTGGATGGATGAGTGGCGGGTTAGATAAATGAGTGGCGGGCTTTGGGTTGGGTTCTGATCGCCCTCCCTCCCCTCCCTTCCCTTCCCTCCCCCTATCCTTCCCTCCCTCCCCCCACACACAACCACTAACACCTCATGAATGTAATTAACGTCCGACACTAACCCCCCCCCCCTTCCCCCACGCGCTATCTTGAACTAAATGTCATCACCCACAGGCCCAACAATGGAAATGGTGCGAGGAGCTGTATCCGACGTTGTTTGAGAGGATTAGGGAGAAGGTGAAGGAGGTGAGTGTTTGTGTTTTTGGGTGGTGTGAGGGGTTTTTTTTTGTCCCGGCGTCTTTTATCCGAAACCCCATTCCCCTTTTATCCGAAAACCACATTCACCTCCCCCTCTTCCCCTTCCCCTCCCCCTACCCCTTTCCCTTCCCCTTCCCCTCCCCCCCCCCTTCCCCTTTTCCCTTCTCCCCTCCCTCCCCCCCTCTTCCCCTTCCCCTTCCCCTTTCCCCCCTTTACCCTCCCCCCTCCTCCTCCTTTCCCCTTACTCACCTAACCACCCACCCTTCCCCTTCTCCCCGCCCTCTCTCTATATCTTAATTTTAACAAACCACTAACCCAAAAATTAAAAACTAACCCAAATAAACACCTAACCCCTCCCCCCCCTGTATACTGAAACACCACCAATCGCAGCACTCCTTCCTCCCCATCGGCGGCGCCTGGGTCGAGCACGACGGGAACATGCCGAGCGGGGAGGCGATGGTGAGGCAGGTGGTGGTTGGGCAGAGGTGAGTTAGGGTTCTCTGTAAAGGGGTTTGGGGGGGTGTTTGGGTGGGGGGATGTTTAGGGAAGAGGGGTTTTGGGGGAAGAGGGGGGGGAGTTGAGAAAGGGGAAGGGAGGGGGGGGGGGGGATGAGGGGTGAGGAAGGGGGTGAAAGGGATTTTTTGGTGTGAGGGGAAGGGAGAGAAGGGTGTTTGGGTTTGGGGGGTTAAGGGGAAGGGGAAGGGGGGGGTGGGAAGGGAGGCAGTTTGGGAAGGGGGGGGGGGGGGGGGAAGGGGAAGGGGGAGGAAGGGGGAAGAGGGGTGAGGAAGGGGGATGGGGAAGGGGTTTGGGGTTTTAAAAAGAGGGATGGAGGGGATGGGGAAGGGGGTTTGGGGGTGGGTGAGAGGAGTTGTTTTGAACGCGACCTGTCGAGTTGTTTCAAACGCGACCTGTCGACTTGCTTGAATTCGCTACTGACGCTACCTCGCCCGTATACTAACACGCGACGGCCTATTGACTAAACTTCAACTAACCCCCTTCCCTTCCCTTCCCCACATCAACTAACCCACCCTCACCCACCCCAACACCAGATACTTCGCCTCCCGCCTGGGCGCGTACTGCGAGACGGCCTGGTTACCGGACACGTTTGGGCTGAGTGGGCAGTTGCCGCAGGTGAGTGTTGGGTGGAGGTGTTCGCCCGTTACGTTCCTTTTTTTTTTCTTTGTTATATGGGTTGGGGAGTGAAGGGTGTGTTGGAGGGTGAAGGAGAGAAGGGGGAAGGGTTGGGGGGGGAGCTAAGGAGAAGGGTGGAAAGAGGTGGGAGGGTCTGGCGAGGACGGGGGCGTAGGCTGGCGAGATGGAGGGGTGGAAGGGGGTGGGAGTGAAGGGGTTGGGGAGGGGGGGAGGCGAGGTGGAGAGTGTCTGGCGAGGATGGAGGATAACGTGGCGAGATGGAGGACCGTTTAGCTGACGTAAACCGCCCCACAGATCCTCCGCAGCGCGGGCATGAAGTGGTTCTTTACGCAGAAGTTGAGCTGGAATAATATGTGAGTTCGTCCCTCGCTCCCACCTTTCTCGCTCCTCGCTCCCCCCTTTCTCGCCCCCCCCTCCTCCCACACTACCCCTTCTCTCGCCCCTCCCTCCCCCCCTTTCCCTCCCCTCTCAAACACCCCCCCATACCCGTCCCCTCCCACCCATCCCACCACATACTAACCCCTCCCCCCCTTTCCCCCCAAAAAAAAGCCACCCCCCCAAACTAACACCCCCAACCCTTCGCACCCAAAGAAAAACCACACTAACACACGCTAACACCCAAACTAACTAGCAACACCTTCCCGCACACGACGTTCAACTGGGCGGGGATCGATGGGACGCGGGTGTTGTGTCATATGACGCCGGGTGAGTGTTTGGGGGGGCGGGGGGGGGGGTTTGATGTTTTTGGTGTTTTTTGGGCGGTGATTGTATTGTCCGTTGATTATATGGGTTTGGGGGGGGGGGGTTTGGGGAAGGGTTTATGGGGAGGGACAAGGGGTTTTTTTATGTTGGGATGGGGATGTGGGGTTTTGGGGAGGGGGACAAGGGGAGGGCTAGGGGGAGAGGGGGAAGGGCGGGTGTTTTTTTATGTTGGGAGGGGTGGAAAGGGGGCTAGGGGGAGGGTTGGGGGGGGATGGTTTTTTTTGGTGTTTGGTAGAAAGGGTGGGGGGGGGGAGAGGGGGAGGGTTGGGCGTGGGAGGGGGGGAGGGGGAGGTGTTTTTTTATGTTGGGAGCAGAGGGGCGGGGTTATGTTGGGTTGGAGAGGGGCTAGGGGGAGGGGGAAGGGCGGGGAGGGGCGTGGTTTGACGACAAGCGCGGCTTACCGAAAATCCTTGCACAGTCGACACGTACACCGCGCAGGCGACGGTGGGGGATGTGAATAAGGGGATTCGGGGGCATAAGGTGTGTGTTTGGGTGTTTGGTTGTGTTCTTAGTTCACTTCTTTGTGCTCATTTCACTCTCGTCTTCGAGTTGATCTCTCGTCGTCGAATCGATCTCTCGTCGTCGAATTGATCTCTTCGTTCTTGTCGAATTGATCTCTTCGTTCTTGTCGCCTTTCGCCCCGTTCCCCTTTCCCCCTTTCCCCTTTCCTTCTTCATCCTCCTCGCGTTGATCTCTTCACCTCCCTCCTCACCCTCCTTCACTCTCCTTCCTCCTTTTCTTCTCCCTTCGCGGGCCCCGTCCTACTATGATGCAAACCATATGCCATGACTTCTGACTCTCGGAGGCGCGGTCGCGTCCTCGTGAGCGAACTCTCGAAGGCACCGTCCTCGCGAGGGAACTCTCGGAGGCACCGTCCTCGCGAGCGAACTCTCGAAGGCACCGTCCTCGCGAGCGAACTCTCGAA